AGAGAGAGAGAGAGAGTGTTTTACTGTCTCTAACCTCCTCCTAAAGATATGTGCCCCAATGTGCACACTCAATGTAGGTTATACCAGCACTTGCGGCCACCTTTTTCAAATGTGTGGACCAAGGTTTCAAAAAACGCTATGTGGCCTTGAGGCGGCTGGCTTGGCACCTAGTGCCCAGGCTGGCACCCTGAACCTTGGGTGCCCTGTAGTACAAATTTTATAGATATATAGTAATACATATATTTGTGCCAATTTTGTAATTTATTGCATTTGAAAATATTGTAACATGCTTTATACAAACATGTGACGTATCGCATGTTGGGAATATACTTGTTCAAAATTTCAAAATTCAAACCATACAAAATTTAGAAAGTCTAATAGGATATGTATTACTAATAGTCTCCAGCTCTCTATATTCCATAATAAGTAGAAAAGTTTAGGAAGCTTCTTCAAACCACCAAAAATACTTTTGATTCTCAAAAATAGGCCTATTACATAATATGTAGAAAAGTTCGGGAAGCTTTTCAAACCACAAAAATACTTTTGATTCTTAGAAATAGGTAGAAAAGTTTGGGAAGCTTCTTCATACCACAAAAAATGCTTTTGATTCTTAGAAATAGGTATAGCTATGAGGGTTTATGGAATTACTTTTTTAACTTTGGGGGTTGAAAATAACTCCCATTACATATTTGAACTATTTTTGGGGGTCAAAATTACCCCTTTTGCCATTTTTGGTATCTTGAAAAAAAAAAAAACCACATCCCTGCTCGCCCATCTCACCAGCTCGCCTAGGTACATCCACCCAGAACGGGTGGCGTGCGGTGCATAGGGTCTTGGGTGCCTAAACAGGCGCCTAGGCACTGGCGGACCGTTTTTTGAAACATTGGTGTGGACCCATATGTGAAAGGTTTGCTGGTATGCAGCTGAGTTATGGATCCTAGGGTCTGTCTCGCTGTACAATTGGAGCAGCATGCAATCTGGAATAACAATCTGGGGTTCCCTCAAACTTGACCCAATGCTGCTGAGCCAATTTGGCCTTCATGGATGATGGTGAAAGAGAGATAAGAGACAAGAGACAAGAGACAAGTGGGGTGGTTCACAAAAGGAAGCTGCTTGGAATTTAGATTGTTTCTAGTTCCAGGTGACCTGTGAATAATGAATGTTTTATGTGTGGGCTGGCATCCTGCAGGATCTACCATATGTGCCAAAATCGCTAGTGAAATCAGAACAAAATCTAACAGTCCTTGCTGTCTCAAGATTGTGGAAATACCACAATTTAGGGACATTTAGAACAGCAGACTGTCCTCTTTCTTGTTGGGTCATTCCTTAATTAGACATTTGTTCACGGTAGAATGCATCAATACTTGCCCTTAATCAGTATTTCTTAATTTGGAATTTCTCCTGGACATTAAAACCTTTCTTTTGTTATTTTTGTTCCACCCAAAAGACTCCAAATTCTGAAGGCATTTCTTTTTCTCTGATGGAAGTTCCTCTGCATGGGCTAGAGTGTGAATACTTCTATCTTTTGCTCTATCAATCCAATGCTCAGATGGATGTATATGCACATCACTTTTTGACCTCAAAGAAACAGAAATGCTTGTCACAGAAATTAGGAGATATGTATGTTGCTCTGCTGACTTTGTCATTTGCATGCTTAAAGAAATGCAGCTTTTGGAATATAGAGGTGAATGTTTTCACTTTATCACCTTCAGCTGGTGCATTGCAAATTGTGCTTCCTATGCGAGCATTATTTAAAGAGATTGTGACCATTGTGCTCTGTTGCCTTTTTGGAAATTTTAATATATGAGTGGTATATATTAGTTTTAGGTCGGCCATCATTATTTTCTGCTGCTTCAATGGAAACTTGGTGGCTTTTTTCGATATGATGGTCATCCATGTCATGGTGTATTGTTTGTTGAAAGTTGCTTTTCGAACTAAAGATAAAAACCGTACAATTTCCTTCTTTTGAAATGTAAAACTGTACACTGTCTTTGGAATTGATTCACGAGTACTTGACTGCTTGAGTGGAAAGTTGGTGGCTTTTTGTTGGCATTACTTTGGAGTTGGTTGATACGATGGTCATCCATGTCATGGTGTATTGTTTGTTGAAAGTTGCTTTTCGAACTAAAGATGAAAACTGTACAGTTTCCTCTTTTTGAAATGTAAAACTGTACACTTTATTTGGAATTGATTCATGAGTATGTGATTGTATTGTGTAGGCTTTCTTCTGTGTTCTGAGACTGTTGTATGGTTGACAGGAAAAGCACAAAGAGAAAAAGCATAAGAAAGAGAAGAGGGACAAAGAAAAGAGAGAGGGTAAAGAGAGAAAAGATAAAGACAAAAACAAGGAGAAGCATAAAGATAAGAAAAAGGAAAAGCACAAAGATAAGAAGAAGGACAAAGATCGAGAGAAGGATAAAACCAAGACAACTGATGAAAAGGGAAGTGATGAAGGTCACTTATTTTGTGTTGGAGAGAGCAGCAGGGAGAGAGATAAGCAGGCACTTAAGAATAAGGACTTTGAGCAGGAGTTCATTCGAAGGATCAGTGCTGAGGCAGGGGATGCCAAGAACCGGATCCCTGAGAAATTCAATGGAACTATACTTCAAAGAGGAATTCAGGATACAGGAAGAGTGGCATCAGATGTTGAAAAGAAGTTTGACGGGAAAGAGAAAACTCGTGATAAGGAGAATGATGATAGGAAAAAAGAGAGGCGAAAAGATAGGGATCGAGATGAGAAGAGGAGCAAGGATGCCGACAAGGCTAAAGAGAAGGAAAAAGAGAAGGACAAAGTGAAGGAGAGATCTGAACATAAGCATAGGGACCAGGAGAGAGAGTCCCACAAAGGTGTGCATAAGCATAAACAACAGGTGGCGGAAACCCACAAAAGTGAGCATATCGATTCCTGTGGCATTTACTCGGTGCATCCTCAGGAAAACCTCAGAAAGAGAAAGGACTCAGAGACAAATGGTGTCCTACATGGTTAGTAACCTACTTTGTTCTCGTAACTAAAAAACATTTTGCTTGGATGGAAATCCGTAGCGTCTAGCTCGAGAATAATTTATTGTATGATCTCTCTCTCTCTCCTCTGTCTGTTTCTGTCTCTGTCTCTCTGTCTCTGTCTCTCTCTCTCTCTCTCTTTGGCTCGGCTTATGAAAAGGTTGAGAATATGTTTACCTCCCTCCCTACCCCTTTCCCCAGTTTTGTCTATGAATATATTGAGATTACATTCTTTATGCTGTCTTTCCTATGCTCACAGACAATGACATACGGCCTAATAAGCTGCCCAGACTGGCTTCTTCCACCCATTTGCACATGGAGAATGGAAGGAAAGCAGAGCAGTGCCATATTGCTAATCCATGTTTTTACGATAAACAAGGAATCACAGTAGATAATAGCAACAAGAAGCTTGAGAGAACCACCTTCGGTGGCACGGTTTGCTTGACCCCACAAAGCAATAAGGACCAGAATCACAGGATTAATGGTAAAATAGAAGCTCAGCTGCCTTTGGTCAATCATTCACGGCCCGAGAAGAGTGGGAAGAAGGTTGAGGTTGAAATGGAAGCCCGGCCACCTTTGGCTGATCATTCAAGGCCTGAGAAGGGTGGGAACAAGGTTGAGGTTGAAATGGAAGCCCGGCCACCTTTGACTGATCATTCAAGGCCTGAGAAGAGTGGGAAGAAGGTTGAGGTTGAAATGGAAGCCCGGCCACCTTTGACTGATCATTTAAGGCCTGAGAAGAGTGGGAAGAAGGTTGAGGTTGAAGAAGCGAGTAGGAGGCCTCCTCACCCTGATACCCAGTTTTTAAACCTGATTTATACTGTACCAGAAATGGCAGAGTGGTCCAAATTTGACAACCAAGAGTGGCTTTTTAGCAGTGATGACCTTCAAACAAAGCCTAAGATTGTAGCAGAGGCTCCACAAGTATGGGCAGAATCAGTGCATATAGAGTCTGCAGATGTCCATGCTTTGCCATATGTCATTCCTTACTGATATGAAAATTGAGTGTTTTTTCTCCCTCCTATCCTAGTGCTGATTCAATCACAAAAGAGTTATCTATCAAAAGGTACGGCGCCATTTTTTTTTCCCTTTTTTTTGTTGTTTTCTTCATATTACCTTTTCTTATTAGGTGGTTGGTTTCCAACCTGGTTCAAAAGGTATTTATAATTTCATAGTCCCTCATCAATTATCAAGGAGCATTGGTTTGGAAATTGTTACCACCATTTCATTGCATGCCCTGTTTTAGGTTGGTGAATCTTGCAGGGCTGGGATTTTACAGGATTCCTCCATTCTAATTATGAGGAGCTTATATACTACAAATTGGGGAAAAAAATAGAAAAAAGAAAAAGAAAAGAAAAGTTGGAGGTTTGAGCCATTGGGTTGGTTCAAAATGAGTCTTGTAGGGGTTTATGCTTTGAGTTGAAACCTAGGCTTCTCAGAGTAGGCTGAAGTGGTCTTTGTTGCAGAACCACACAATTTTGATTTGTATCATAGAATCTTAGTGACGATGTTATGAAATGTACATTAGCAAACAATCAAAAAAGAAAAAGGGAAATGAAGAGGTGACGGCATTTGTTCATAGTATCGTTACTCCTATGCTCATTGTGTCTAGCAAAACCATGATTTAACTGTTGTTGGGTCCAGTTTCAGGGAATGTTTTGTTTATTATATCATAACTACAGGTAAGCCTTGGGGTTTTTTAAAGTGTTTCTGGAAATTTTGTTTCAGTCACTTTTGAAAAAGATAAAATAGGATCAGTGGCCTCATTTTTTATTTGTGGTTTTTAAAGTGTTTCTGGAAATTTTATTTTAGTCACTTTTTAAAAAGATAAAATAGGATAAGTGGTCTGATTTTCCATTTGATGTGTCCGATGTTTTTGCTTTTGCTGCGTTAATGATTTTTTAAAGAAACAATTTTAACCATGAAAAGATAACTTTTGTTTTGCAAATTCAATTGTCCCTGTGTCGGCGACATTTGTACTGTTTCTCTGGCAAACCGTGTTTTAGATTTAAGCAGGAAAGTTGGAACATTTATCAAAGCTCTTGCTTTTCATCAGTATCGGCATCTATAAACTCACTTCTTTGAATAGTAATATTTTTGAACTACGAGTTTTGGAATCAATGAGAGATATTTATAAACTTTTTATTGTATACAATAACTTGAATGGGATTGGGTAAGCTTATCGTTCTGATCTTCATTAACAGAATTTTTTCGTCCAGGGATCCTAACTCGTTAGTCTTTATTATGGATATTTACTATTGAGGTGATGTGGTGGTGTCATCTAGGTTTGAATTGAGAGAGACATCTTTTTCCTTGGTAGAAATCGGGATAGGTGTGACTTTTTCTCTAACTTCCTCTGTAACAATTAGGATACCCTTATCAATGAAATCTTGGATGATGTGCTTAAGAACAAGGCATTCTTCAGTGTCATGGGTATGGTTTTGATACCATTCATACGATTGTGACTTATCTCCAACTTGTAAATGAGGAATTTAAGTTGGAGGCAATATGAGGTGTTTGTCTTCGATCGGCAATTTTAGAATATTATTCATAGAATATTTAAAATGAGTAAACTTTCGGGGTGTAGTACCTTGAATTTGATATGTATAAAAATGAGCCCCATCTGCATCCCTAAGCCATTCTAAAGATGATTTAGATTTGAGATGACATTTTGGCTGATTGATTGTCAATTCATTGATTTCACCACTAATTGAAGCTTTGTCTTGACTAAGCTCTACTTATGATGTGGTGCTCTATGTATTCCTAAGCTATTTTGAAGCACTTGGGATTGGCTTCACACTCATCAATTATTATCTCATTAGAGTCGGTGTCGTATGAATCTCCATCGTGATAAAGTTCTTGCACCATTATGACTTCATCTATCTTTTGTTCCAGTATGATCGGTGACTGATCTTGGGCTCTTTCCTTTGCTCTCTCATAGCTTGAAACCATTTCGAGCATTGAGTCAAAAGAGAAAGGCCGAGTGCTTTTGCGATAGTGAAGCTTATACTCGGATAACATTTTACTATTACTCGCAGTACACATTTTCTATGGTCATGTTGATATGAGAGGCTTCAGAGAGTGTGCAATCAATGACTTTTGATGCAGTGTCTCTAAATCTATTGGTAAAGTTCGTGAACGATTCGTTAGGATTTTACTTGCTGGTGACCAGCTTGCCAAGGGTCATGGGTTGTTGTTTAGTCACACGATACTGCTCAATGAATCTCCAAAATAGTTCGTCGGGAGATTGGTCAGGGTATATAATAACCACCTCTTGGAACCATGTCAGGGGCTATCTAGAGAGAGTGTATCAGAACATTGTCTTGAGTCAGTAAGGTCTATCTTCAAGTGCAGGAATAAATAAAAGGGTAAGTAGTGACATGGTTTTTTAGGTCACCTTTCCCACTAAACTTGTTTTCAGAGTTGGGGAATTCAAACCCCGGTGGAGAGGGTCGATGTCTCCAAGAATGTCATTGATGTAAGATATTGGTGAGAGGATATCTTGAACCCCAATCTTGGCCAAGGTATGCTGAAAGGTTCTTAGTTCACTTTTCATGTCAGCTAACTCACTTGATTGGGTAGCTGGGATTGCCTCAACTGGCTTGTTGCCTGACACTGATAGACTGGCTTGAACCGGTGATACGGATGGAACTGGGTAATACTAGATTGGTTGATGGACAAGACATACCTAGGTATGTGGTGCAACTTGGGTTGGCTTAACCTGGACTTGTTGCATAGTCGGAAGTGACTGGATTGGTGGGTAATGTGTTTGCACGAGTGGTGTGACTAGGGTTGGTTGAGTTGATACATAGTAGGTCTGAACTAATGGTGTAGCTTGAATTGGCCGAGTTAACAAACAATGGGCTTGGGCCGGTTGGACCGACTAAGCCTAACATGGGTAAGTTTGTGCTGAAATTGGTTGGCTTTGGAATTGAGCAGGTGCCCTAGCCGGTAAGGGCTTATTGCCTTGTGGGTTATGGACTCTCGTAGGCTAACTCAATTGACTGGGTTGACCATGAGATTCAAGAGGACCCTAACCATACGTTGTGTTGGGACCAAAGGTGGTTTCTCCTAAGCATCCTCTGGACCTGTGGCTTTTAGGAAAGACAAGACCGCATAGAACTTCCTGAGCTGACTATGGCTTAGCCCTTGGAATATAGTGGGATCAAGCTCAAAGCGACTAATAGTGTTTTGGTGCGTGGAGGCCACAGTTGACGAACGCTTGGGCTTGGCGGATGATGCTTAACTCTCTGGTTTCTTTTGGTTGCTATCCTTGTGTGTACCCCAGCTTGGTTGATCCCAGACTGACTGGTTATCAAGGTTAGGATGGTGAGAGGGGGATTGAGCACCATAGTACCTGGTTTGGGACGGCTGACCTAAGGGCTTCGGGATTTTGGATGATTGACTTGCCTCGTCATATCAAATTAATCTTTGACAATACTCTAGATCTCGCAGGTTAACCTTCCTGACAAGTTCATCAACGTTCTTGATAAGTTCATCATTCGAATTGCTATGGGCTTTACTCACTTGCTGGCCACTAGTGGTCTGGAGACCTAGGGGTCTAGCTGGGGTTCCATGTGGGTTATGATTGGACTTACCCTCATGGGCCTTATGGTTTGATGGTTCACCTTGGTGAAGCCCCAAATACTAACCTGGCTCCCTAGACCTAGGCTTGACTAAGGGTTTAGACCATATCTTGGTCTAGTCTTGAGCCATGATTCCCAGATCAAAAGGTTCGAGTTAACTTGAACTGGACGTGGACTTGGATTGAACCTAGACCTATAGCTGGACATCGACCTGGGTCTAGAACTTAGGCCTTGACCTAGAGTAGGCCTGGGCTTGAGTCTTAAATGTGGACTCAAGTGTAGGTCCGAGTTCATACTTTTTGGAATTGGGCTCTGACTCAGACTTAGGTCTCTAGGTCTACAGACCTAGACCTAAACTAAGACTTGGACTTAACTAAGCTTAGATCTGAACCAAGCTGGACTCCAACCTGACTAGCCTTAGGTTTGAACCTAGCAAGACCCAGACTTGGACTTGGTTAAACTTGGACTCAAACTTAGGTAGACCTAGATTCGTGCCTGGATGGATCAAGACTAGACTAGGTTAGACCTAAACTTGGGTCTGACTAGACCTAGACTCGAACCTAGCTTAGTCCTAGACTTAAATCTAGAGCAAATCAAGACACACAAATATGGCTTGAATACAATTTGACCTAGTGAACTGTGGGTAGGCTAGGTCTGGTCAAAGGTTCCTAACTAAAGAACAAGTTGAAAACTCTGTTATTTGATTGGGTGCCCATGTAAGGCTCACATCAATTTAATTGCGGAGGCTGAGCTTTATTATTGGGGGTTTGTATTGTGGTCAGGAATTCCACAAAAGGGTACTTGCTTATGAAAATAGGACAATGTGATCTAGTCAAGTATATACAGTTAATTTATTTATAAATTATACCGTAATACAATCTCGGATCTTCATTTGCATACCATTACAATTCTTTACAATAAAAAAAAATACAATGCATGAATAATCAAGAAACATGGAGCCATTAGATTTACTGAATACCTTGTCTTAGGTTACCCCCAAGGACTTTGTACAACCCACATCGGGTCTGTTCCACCAATGGCACATGAGATCTTGGTCCTAACCTTGTCTTATAATTCGGGAAGCCTAAGCAAATCCTCTTGAGAGTGTGATATGGGATCGAAAAAATCTCTTCGCAACAGACAATAACACATGACCATCTAGTCTAGGGCGTGCCACCCTCCAATGGTTTGGATGTGCCTATTAGGTTTACTCTAGGCTCAAAGTTACACAAAACCCTAATTGAGAGAGAGAGAGAGAGAGAGAGAGGAGGGGAGGGGGGGGAGGGGGGGGGGTACGGACGACGACGAAGAAGAGA